CTAAAATGTTATTTTACATTGAAGAGGGGGCAAGAACTTTATCAGAGGAGGCAAATCGACCTACGAAATTTCTCATAGAAATTGTAAAATAGTACTCAAATATCTATGCAACACATGCATACCAAATATTCTGAAATAGACGGTTTAACAATGCTTATATATATTTCATTTCATAGCTTCTACTGGTTGTTCATGATATGTGAAGATGTTGTACACTTATATATCATGCAAACCTCAACTTTACAAAAAAAGCATACACAATTTTAAAAAAAAAAAAAATTGTTCAACATTCTCCCTCAAAATGTTACTCTACACCGAGGAGGTAAGAGCAAACAAATCGATCAACAAAATTTCTCAGAGAAACTGTAAAGCAATAATTATATATACAAGAAAAAGCACACAAAATTTTGTTAAAGAAATGGAGGAACAATGCTCATATATATTTTATTCTATAGTTTCTACCGGCTGATCAGGATAGGTATGGATGTTGCCAACTTATCAAACATGTAAACTACAATTATGTATGAAAACATATGCAATTCCATTTGTAAAAGTATCTTTTATATTAAAAAAAGATTTCTTAAAGAAACAGATGAACAATGCTCATATATATATGATTTTATAGTTTCTACTGGTTAATCATGATATATATAGATGCTCTTAACTTATCTACCATGCGAACTTCAATTTAGTATCAAGACATATGCAATTTCATTAATTAAACTACCTCATATACTAAAAAAAAGGTAGCAATGTCAAACATTCTCTCCTCAAAATGTTACTCAACTCTGTAGAGGAAACAACTGCAAGCAAATTGTCCAACTAACATCAGTGCAAGCATATGTAGAACAAGTCTACAAAGAATTCTTAAAGAAATTGATATATAATGCTCATATATATTTCATTCCATTAATTTTGATGGTTAATCATGATAACTTTAGATAATATTAATTTATCTATTATGTAAACTTCAACTTTGTATTAAAACATATGGAATTTCATTAGCAAAATAATATAATGAAAAGAAAAAACAAATAGGTGCTTAGAAATCTCTCCTCAAAATGTTCATCAACACATATTCATAGGTAAGAACAAGCAAATCGACCATCAAACATCACTGGATGTATATGCAAAGCAAACACGCCAAATTTCACAGAAGAAGGAAGAAAAACATAAAAGTAGGCAGCAAATAAATCGCAAAAAAAATCATAATTGAGAAAATTTTATCGGAGGTGGGCAGCAAATAGATGACGCCGACAATGGAGGGAGTGGAGCGGAACTGGGTTTCAGCCCTAACGACACAGATGAAAATGAGAAAGGGTCGAGTAGTATATGGATAGATAGAGTGGGATTACCAGAAATCCAAAGATGTGGCGACATCATAGGCCCCTCACAACAGAGCTCCAACCACGGAACACTCTCCCTTCTTCTGTTTCAGTGTTCGACGAAATGCGGCCCCCATCTGTGAAATGCACAAGAATAAAAGGTTCCCAAACGCAATTTTTCCAGTTCCGAAACGCATAAGCCACAACAACGACCTCCCAAACGGGACCTTAATTGCTCTATCCATCCATTATTCATGGAAGTAGAATGCACTTGTATGGATCATAGGAACAAGGTATCACTTCTCAAATCTTTGATTGTACTGCGGGTGGGGTGGGTAGGGCTTGTTGGGTTGGGTTGGGAGATTAAAGTAAAATTTTTCTAAGGTAATGATGGTGGAATGACATCAACATTCACCACTTTCAAATCTTGAATGATACAATAATCTTCAACATTGTTATTAATGATGATCCACATAGTTGGCCTATGCGATTATAGGATGCTATAGCACCTCACTTCTCTTAGGCGAGCACCACCATTACTAAGATGCCATCTGGATGAGCGCCTTAAAGCACTAGGCGATGAGGTGCACACTTTTTAATACAAAGAATTTCTAATAGTTAGTTAAAAACATACATAAACATAATATTTGACGGGAACCTATATTTAAGAAATAAATATGATAAGATGTTAAAGAATTATTGAAGCGCTATCTTGGCACATATTGGATTATAAAAAAAAATGCATGGTCTAATTTATGTTAAAAAAAATCAAGCTCATGATACTCAACTTGAGATAAAATTTCATTGATCCGATCTCTCTCAAAGATATTGATGATAGTAATAAATAGTTAATTGGACAGTGGTTTCTAATATCTCAAATATATAGATGATATATTTATGATTGATGGTGAATATTTGACACTGGTTCTAGAAAGAGTTTCAAGAGTTAGAGAAAAAATGTGCCCATCAAGAAGCATGCCAATTAAAATATATGCTCAAGAGTTTATGGTTATATTATAAAAGATTTTGGTGATGATGAAGGTTAGAGTAAGAGATCGAATAAGAGCTGGAACGTTACAAATCAGATGTTTACAACAGTAGTTCAGGTGACAAGGCTATTTTTGAGGTAATGATGGCATCATGACATCAACATGCACCACTTTCAAGAGCATAGGCGACCAGGCGATACCTGCTTCTCAGCAAACATCATCATTTGCACCATTGCATAACTTAGGCTACTTGGACATTAAACATCTTAAAAGACAAAAAAAAAAATTCCAACCTTCTGAAGGAATGCACACTTTTGAATGCAATTAATGCGCTTGACTCTTTAAACAACATTCTACTTACTTTGCTTTGTTGCCTTATTTGGTTGTATTATTTGCACCTCTTTTGCTCTTCTTAATTTGCTTTGTTGCCTAAATTGGTTGTGTTATTGGCACCTCTTTTGCAACTTCTCATGCTTGTTGATTGCATTTAAACAAACAATAGCAATGACTACTCCATAATTGATCTCATCATTAACATTTTTAACTTGACACACACCCCATCTACACAACCTACACACCTTCATCACTTTTAAGAAGCTTTCAACCCCATGAACGATTGGTTGACAGTCAACATAAATTTTTTCCTTGCAAAGAAATGATGAGAATACCAAAAATGATACTCCGAACTTCAATTTGGCAATCTCATACTTTAATGTTGGCTTATGATTTCTTATAAACTATAGCCGCAAAGGGATGGAGTGATCGAACCATCTTTCGTCAAAAACTCCTACAATGCTAGGGCAGATGACACAATGAGCTTTCATGACGTTATAATGAGTCATAATATTTATCTCCAGAGTTCTTCTCTACAGACCAAGCTAGAATACTGTTGGGTAGCTTCTCATGCTAGGCTTGAAAAGGTCCAATCAATCCAAGGATGATTTGATCTCTACATCAACTTATACATGCCTGCACTTTGACTTGATTTCATAGTCCCCTGGTGGACTTCTACTCACTAATCGGCCCTAAATGTATCAAATTAATCCTAGGAAAATTTAACCTCTACAACAACTCATATGCATATGCATTTGTGTTGTGGCTTCTTATTTTATCTATGTGCTGCGAGTTAATCAATCCATGAAGGTTTCAATTTTAAATCAATCTATTTGAGTCTGCACTGCATTTTAATTGTCAACTTATACTTGTATACACTGCGATTTGACGCCAGTTAAATCAGTTTCAATTTAATGGCTAACCCATCTTCCTAACGTGGCTCATGTAAAATCGTAGTATTATCTTTTGTTCAATGTTAGAGTAGATTTTCTACAAGCAACAATAAGTTGAAGTGATACTCTCCAAGCAATAATTATAGAACCTTCACATTCACAAGGTCAACTTGTGACACCATAGTCTACACATCTGACAAGATTCGCACATTGAAATCCTTGAAATGGTCATGGAGTGAAAAAGCTGTGACTAAACCCACATATTAGAAGTACCAAAACTTTTGAAGTTATTATCTTGAAGATATATTTATGGGTTATTTATCAGGAACTCATATATATGTGTTAATTCCTAATTTTTTAAGGTCATGGATCAATTACACTTTGATTCATGCTTCCACCGTTTTGGTGTAACAGTTGTACCACAAAGACGCAGTACTTCCAAATCTTCACCTTTGTATCGCATCATAATACATAATATCCCTTCTAACTTGGCATCATTCTTAGGGACAAACTGGTTTGACATTGATCTCATAACAAGTTGGATCTCTTCTTATCTCTTTGACAACTCGAGAACCAAAATACCCTTTAGCTTCTTGGTAATTTCATCCCATCTGGACCTTGGATACAAAATGTCACTTCTAGCCTCCGTCCATTCTTACAAAAGTTTTAAACCATCTTTGATTCTCACTTTCGTAAACAACCTCTTAAAGGAAAGGTAAAGAACTAGTAATTGTTACTCTCCAAAGAGCGAGTAGAGTTCTCCTTTGAGCCCTCATTCTTCATCAACTTCTTAAAGGGGAAATTTAACTGAATTACTTTTAACTCTTATTCATTTTCAAGCTCAGTCACTCATTTAATTGCCAAAGGGTCTTTTTTGGGACAATTCTCTGGTTGGCTTGCTGATTTTTTGCTTTGCTGATTTTGTTCAAGAAATGTTATTTGGCACAAGAAAATTCATCAAAACCAATTTCTATTTATACTGAATGATCTTTTCCAACATAACAATAATGATAATGATGGCATTCTAACTTCCCAATCCATCCCAATTTTATCGAATTTACTTTTATTTTTCGAGTGCTTCTGCATTTTTATTTAGCTGTTTCATCTGTTTTTTTTTTTTTTTTACTTCGAGTACTATGATTGATTTTTTCACTCCACATATTTAATTATACTCTTATGATCTTATGTATGCGGTAATGCATTAATGTAAGGATAATAAATTTTGTAGCACAAGTTAAGTCTAATTTTTTTGTCAGCCTCTTTTTCTATGCACTGTAGATTACAATATTATTATGTTCAAGGGATTATGTTTATTTTATTTTTTGGGAAAAAAAAGTAAAAAAATAGATGAAATTTTTGTAGAATTTTTACTTTGTTCATTTAAAAATGCTCCTATATTTGAAACTTCATACTTTATAATCTTAAATGGTTGCGCTTCTAACATATGGATTTGATGTTAGATATCTACCAAGAAGCTGGTTTGCCGCTGTGGTTGAGACCTTATGAGGTCATTGTCACTTCCTCCTATACTGCCCTTATCGAAACCATTCCTGATACGGTGATCATTTTATCTCATAAATCTATTTCATTCATTATTTTAAATAACCCATAATTAAAAAAAAATTGCTTTTGTTGTAGGCTTCAATTCATTCAATAAAGAGTAGATTTCCTAATATATCGAGCTTGCGTGATTATTTTGTGGCTAAATATGAACTGAACTCTTCAAATTTTAAGATCGCTCAGGTAATTAATATTTGATTTTATTATGTAGAAGCTTTTGTCTCACTTTCTTGGTATGAAAAAACTTGAAACTAAGTTTAGCGTGCTGATGATCCTTTTTCCTTTACCATTTTTGTTTATCTTACCAAATCTGAAAGTAAGCAGTTATACTTGTGAATCACTTGAAGCAATTCTTTTCTTCTTGGAATACATGACATGATTGCTATTTTCTTCAAGATTCATTAAATTGCTAAAAAAAATTAAAGCATAATTATTAATTAATTTCCTGGCAATTAGCTCTTCATGATGGTCATAAATGCTAGTCATAGTAACTGACAAATGGAATCATTGTTGAACTTGACTATGAGGATGGATTCATGCCTCTTCAAAATGTTTTGTATGTGTTCTAGTTAAGATTTCCAAGTTGCTCATCATGGAATCTCATTTACGTTACAGTTTCTTTATTCCTTGACCCATATAAGCAACTTCTTATTTATTCGGCAAAATCTATTTCTCTTCATTTAAAAATTATTCTAGTTATAGATACAAACACGAGAGGACATAACATTTTATTAAATAGAAATAAAGAGCCATAAACACAAAAAAATTTTAATTATTAACATAAATTGTGTAATTAAATACGTAATTTATGTATTTTTTTTATTTTATATTCTATGCTGTTATTATTGAAAAAAATTATTTGCAAAATTTAGAGAATTGGCTGTGTAGTTTATTCTAACATTTGTGCTGAATTTGCACAATTCTAGGAACATTTCTATTAGGAAAATGTATGAAATTAGGGGTTCAAAATTAGGGATACAATTAATCCAATAATTATTGTAGTTAATGAACAAAAATGACTGCTAGTTGTGAATGCAGGAGACTTGCATTAGTCAGTTAGTACGAAGGAGTTACCTGGTAGAGGCGTTATTGCTGGAAGGTGCTGGTGGCAAAGTTGTTGGTGGGAAGCACTTGGAAGGGTACTGTTGGGACTGGTTAGCCAATGTGTGGGGGTTATGAGCAGTCAGCATTGGAGTGGTTCCCGGGCATCGGTCATGCGCGAGTTTTTTTATGATTATAAATATTATTTATGAGAAACAAAATATAAAGTTGATGCTGATTAAAGCTAAAGAAAAATCTACTTTAAGGAGTATTGCAAAAGAAAAAAAACAAAAGTCAAGTTTGAATCTTGGATTTGAAATTATGGTTAGAGAAGAAAGTTAAAGTCATACTTATGCATAGAAGGATAGAGATACTCAGGGTGTATTTGTTTCTGTTGTGGTTGTAGAAAAGCTAGTTTAAAAAGTTGTTGTTGAAAATCTGTTGTTCAAAAGTTGATGTTTCAGAAGCAGTTGTTCTATTTAAAAAACACATTTATGAAAGTGTTGTCTTTCGACATAATGATTGTAATACACTTAAGTATATAAATACAGTTTAGTTTAAACTTTTTGAAAAGGGCAACCATATATAGTGTGACTTCATTCTAGTCAACCAAATAAAAAGGGTATTTACATAAATACCACCCAAATCCTATGTTTTCACATATCTAACACCTAAACTTTACTTTTTTACATTTATACCACCTAAATCTTTCAAATCACATAAAATCTGCAACCAACCTTAAGTTTAAGAAATAAGAAACATGGACAGATTTGCAAATCAAGGACAATAAGCCAGTTCTATCACTAAAAAAAGTATCATTTTTGAATTCAACAGAGCAAGAAAATCAAAAAGGTTTCAAGATGCGTACTTCCTCTTCGAACATTTTACACCTCATTTTTTGATCCCATGTCATCATACATAAACAAAGTATTTTAAAGCCACTGACTGTCAACGATGTCCAATTAAATATTCTAATTTTTCATGTGTTGTAAAGGCACCAAATGTAAACTTGTAGACTGAATCCAACATTATTCTTCTATTTTATACTTATGTATGTATGCATTTCATATCATTCATTCAATTTTAAAAAGATGAAATAGGGAGTTAGATAAATAATGCCAAACTACTAAGTTATAAAAAGATAGGATTATTTATCCTCATGCATCTTATGTTTTTCATCCATATCCTTAAGTAATTGAGATTCCAAGCGGATTCGGGTTTGGATTCCATTGTATCAACTCAACTATCTAGCATACAGGGTTATTGTAGAATCGTGAATCTGAATATGTTGACACAGTAGAAGAATCTCATAGCAAACTTTGCTAAATGAAAATCTCATGGCATTATTCCATAAAGAAAGATAACCACGAGAACGCCTAGGAGTGTCGGAGAGCTTACCAAACTAGCGGAGAAGAATAAGGGGTGTGAGAACGGCTGCTAGTATGTGAAAGTAGGACAAGGCAAGACAACCCGCGGGAGAGCCTAGGACTTGCAAGAGAAACAAAGCTCCGGGTGAGGGTAGAATAGCGAAGCAAAGCTCGGTTGGCGTTGGTTTTTTATTCACGAATGCGAAACGAGGGGGCTGAATCCGCGTTTGTGATTCTACAGTAATTTAAAATCCCGTTCCGGACCGAATTGATGAAACACACGAACCAAACAAAATTAAAACGCAGTTTGGAGGAAAAGCTGGTTTTAAAAGCTCAAATAAATGCACACTCTGTCATTGAGTGGGAAAAAAAATGTTTTTGTATGCATCGAAACAAAGTTGGAGAGTTTTTATGGCTTCAAAATTAGGGGAGTAAGCAGGAAGTGGCGGTTGTGGCTAGCTCAACAAGATGAAGATTGCAAGCAAAACAAATTGGTGATGAGGTTACAAGTGAACCAGTGCTCATTCAGGCTTGTTGCAATGAGAATGAGTGAGCAGAGAATGAATTAGAAGACAGCGAGTCAAAATGGGGATTTTAAGATGCCAAAAACAAATTGAAATGAAATTATTTTATTATTGTGAAATTGCTTCTGACTTCCCCTGCATGTGTCCCATGTGTGTTATTGTATTGTTGAGGCATGTTTGAATTGTGTTTAGCTTTAATTTTGGAGAATATTTCAGACAACTAGTGTTGTTGGACACGTAATGTGCCGTGTCAAAGGTGTGTTTGTGCTAGAGGCTCGTCCTTATTTAACATATTTACACTTACACAGACATTTTGAGCCATCCATGCTTCATAGTTATTGTTGTGAAATTGAATGCTTTGTTTATTCGTCAATTGACTACTATGATCCCTTGTCAAAGGGTCTAGTTACGGGCTCTCGGCAATTTTTTTTATTTTTAAAATTAATGCTGTTTTGCATGTTTGTTGTAAGTTTGACTGGCCGAAGGATTTTTACTGAAATCCCACTTGATTATAATTTTGGCTATTGAACTAATTTTGCTTTTTAATTTTAGTTGATTCCGGATATTACAGTTTTGAGCTTCAAGATATTATCTGCAAGTGTTGATTCTATTCACCTGCATTGCATCATTCTAGTGGAAACCCTTTTCATTATCCCTCATCAATTCCTCTTGTATTTTATTGGCACATGCCATTGAATGGTTAGAGATTTTTAGAGCTCTTAAATTAAGCATTTTGTTATGTTATAATGACTAGCATGTGAAAGGACTGTTCCTTTGATTTATCTGTGCAATGGAGAAAAATATCTTGTAGGTGACTATCAATTTCATTTTGGAACTTTGCTAATAGAATATCAATCTTTTCTTCTTTTGGACTTTTATTGCGTTAGGCTATGTTGCAAATCAAAGCTGCTTTCTTGTTGATCAAGTTTTTGTTCTATGTTATGCTCATGGCAAGTTTTTTACACTTAGTGATACTAGAAAATTTTTTCCCAATCTAGGTAAAAAGGAAGTTCAATACTCTCATTAGTTGAAGCTGTACAGAAAGAACTTTAAAATCAAGTCAACAACTCATGTAAAATACAAATGCGATGAATGGAGGAGGATTTATAAAGCCAGCCCAAGTAGTTGAGTAACGGGTAACAATGATGATGATATGGATTAGATTGTTTTAGATACATGTTGCGTGCAAGAAAATTTGTGGCAATAGAGTGAGAATTAGTGTCTTAGTATTCACAAAGATTTAACATACACATAGATAAAAGCAGTGTTCAAAGAAAAGGTATCATAAATTTTACATGAGAAATTTGGAAAGAGATAAATCATGGAACTTAACTTAGTTAAAGTAATCCACTATATATTTCAAACTGCAAAGTTTCACTTTTTTCTCTAAATGGAGAAGATGTTATATTATTTGGACTGTTTAGAAAGATTGACAACAATAACCTAATAATAACTATGCTACAACAACTGGTTGGATAAGTACAACCGCTAGTAGTGGTTGGTTATGATTGTCGGTGGTCCCTAACTTCAAGTTTTCTTCAGAGTGAGGTCTTAACTCTTAGCTTCTTTTTTCTATTGTTGAAAATGAGATCCTATTTATAACTTCGGGAGAAACATTTTGATAAATTTACAAAAATCTTAGAACACTCCATCGGACGGTTCATGTTGATTCATTTGATCATAGATCATTTTTTTAGTATTCTAGGTAATGACGCTAATATTGAGTGATCACAGGCTCGCTTGATTTTTTTCGTCGAGACACTCGATTTGATTCTAAAAATGCTAAATAGATTATTTGACCTTTCGATCAATTCTTTAAAACTTTGAATCATAATTCAAGTACTTGATCTGAGCTCATTTGGTTTTGGATGATTCGCTTTTAGTATCGTTAGTTTCATACTATCGAGATATTCAGTTTGCTATAAAGTTGCTTAAATTGGAGCTTGAGTGATCTTGAATTTAACTCTCGAAACTTTCTTATTTAACGTACATCAAGAATTGTACTTAATCAGGTCGATTTTTTAATGACATCAATACATAAGAATATTATTCATTTATTGTTTGTACTGAAATCTTCTATATTATTTCCAAATTGCTGATGTGTATGGTATTTTATTTGCTAAACCCGACTTAGATCAGGAAGTCCTGTTAACATGTAGTGTAAAGTAGAATCATGCCAAAACATTGTTTCTCCTAGTTGTCGTGCTTAGGTTTCCAGAGAAAAAAAAAACTTGTGTTTGTTGCAAATTACAATAGACATGCTGCTTGGAGCTTAAATAGCATAATGATACTGGAAAATACCGCCAGACTATATTCTCTCCCTAACAACTGTATATCTAGTGTCTGTGATTCTTCTTATATATTTACATATCCATCTCTTAAACTTTCGTAATTACATTTATAACACATTGGTGTGATAAAACTTTTTATGAAAAGGTGTATTTAATTTTTTTTTAGAAATAGGTGTAGTGGTATTTTTGATGTGATATTAAAAATTTGAGTGCTACTCATGTAAATATTGAAGTTTGGGTGTTAGATTTGTAAATACATAAGAATTGTGTTGTATGTATGTAAATTCAACTCCCC